TAAGTCAGTCGGAACGGCAGTTCAGTGCTTACACGTTTTCCATGGTGATCTAGCTTCAGTTGACTCATGATCTCAACTATGCAAAATTACTATAATATCCACAAAATAATCGTTTAACTTTTCTCCGAATGTCATACAATAATGTAAATAATGCTATTTACCATCATGGTTTCGGTTGAATATCCCACTAATCAGCTTCAACTAGCATTTTATAAAAGAGCATGAATGCACTATATGGTTAACACATATACACACATAATTAATTAGTTTGAGTAAATCTGAATAAATGAAACAATATTGCAATATGTGTATCAATAGAAAGTAAATATTATATAGAGTGAAGTGAAGGATACCTTTGTTTGTAATCGTTCTTGCCTGATTCTCCATATTGTCCGATTTTAAATATTTGTAGAGCAATATACATACACAACATCATATATAATAATAGTCTAGTGTTTCAGTTTATTGACATTTCGGGAATCATTCTATTTAACTCCTTAAGTTTACTTCAGATCCAATCTATTCTGTCATACTTTTTATATGGTATTCTGATGTTCTCTTTAAAGAATAATAGATCTACCTATGTCTAATGTTGTAAAATCCGGTATTAAGAATTCCACTTAGGCATTAATTATTTAGTTAGTTAAAGATTAATAAAATTATTCAATGGTAAGTATATCACTTCTCTCAGATACTTTAAAATTGATTCGCCTGTAAAAGTTTCCAATTAATGAAATGTATAATATCAAAAGGGATGTTTGTAGAGATTTTATTAATTTAATAGTTGAATTCATAAGTCATTTAGAGTTAGACCACCATGAAAAACCTGGAAATATTGGACGGCTTTTTCGTCCTAATATGGAACTGTTGGTTTCTAATCTCGTCTATGGGATTGTAGATGCGCACTGTTGAGGAGTCCCACAATAGGACGAAACAACCTTCAATTGCTTCTAGGTTTTCCATGGTGGTCTAGCTTCATGCATTCAACTATTGAATGTAGAATAACTAATGTTTTTTTATTCATGAAAAAAGCGATATTATCCGCTACACTTTAAACTAATATCTATTTTTTATCCAATAATGATTAATCAGCTATGCAAATTATATAAAATGATTCAATTGACTAATTAATGTATATATATATATATATATATATATATATATATATATATATATATATATATATATATAGATGATTAGAGTTGTTTGTCGGATCCGCTTCTCTTCATCTCTTCTTTTGGTTTTCAATTAAAACTTTAATGATTAGTTACAATATGTTACATATCTAGACTGTTTTTGTTTTGTTTTGTTTTGTCTTTTGTTTGATTCCTTAACTAATTGTACTTTTCAAAGTTTAATTTTGATTTAGAAATTTATTGTTTAAATAAAGTTACTCCGTTAAAATTGGATGTTATAATAATAACACTTGAAATAGAGTCAATATTCCGACATGATCTATTCAATAAAGAGACAAATTAATTTACTATGGGTTAGTAGCTATGACATATTATTGACTAAATTTGTTGGTGAAAAGATCGTTTGTTTGTTTGTGTGTGTGAGAGAGAGAGAGAGAGAAAGAGAGATCGTTTGTGCTTTCGATAGTTGATTTCCGGTTACGATATATGCTAATGAAATGAACATAGAAAAAGAAATCATCTACCGATATGAATATTACATATGGTATTAATAGAATTCTGTGTGAATTTTTTTTTCTGAAATTGCTTATTCCTGACAATAATGTGAGAGGAACTCAGTACTTCATCAGTTAGTCAGGCATAATCCACATAGAGCCTGAAATAAATGTTTATTATCCTAAAATTCCATATAGCATTAGCGCGATGATACAAGATAACTAAATATGAACATCAAAGTAGTCACAATAGACATGTTAGTGAGAAAAAGTAAATACTGGATGTTTTGAGTAGACAGAATAAAAAGATAAGCATGGAGGATTGAACGCAAAACTTTAGGTCGATGACAAGATAGAGATATGATGCTTTGATCCAGTCTTACCGATTACGAGTCACATGGCTCAATGTTTCCAATCTCATTAACCCTAATAAGACGGTCTGAATCTATCAACGTGGTTGGACCACGTATTGCGTATGACTTAACTGCGATTACCACGACACACAATGCTGACTAGTGTTAGAGACGGTTAGAAGAAAGTTAGGGGTGGCCAAGCCAAAACGTGACATCAGTCCTTCAAGTCACTCACTTCTAGTCTTAGCCATGTTGGTAGATGCACACTACTTGGTTGGCCTCCACGTAACTATCGTAACCAATGGTTGGAGACTGTGTGTGACATGACTCAGAATCCATCAAAATTGTATCGGTGTCAGTGTACATATACACTCTCTGTCTTCCCTTACACTATGAGATTGAAATCGCTTCATATCTTCCTTTTTACGAACTAGTTCCTTCTTCCTGTATTATATCCTTATATGCAATCTTTCTTTCATATATTACCACCAGTGAATTAACTACTTCTATGAATCCGGTGTTTGTCTTGTTGTGCTAATAAGTGATGTATGGCAAGTTGGACCGACGCATATATGTGCCTGGTCCTCCGTTGTAGCTGACTGACTGACTGATTAACGTGACTTAGTTCGGCATGCAATGATCTCATGGACTGATGTTACTCATTCTTTTGGCCTCTTCTATTTTTTTTCAAATGACGCCTACATGTAATATCGCATTTCCAGATAGGAGGTAGGTGGACATACATAGCACATGTTCAAGATACCTTAGTTGATAAAATTTCACAACGACGCCAACCATTATATCATTTTCACCAATTATTCTATATCCAACTTTAGTATTCTCAACTAGGTTATTTCACGATAAGTGATAAATGCTTGGAAGACACATGTTTTCGAATTTCTACAACTCATGCATCTCCTAAACATAGTCACATACATTAGTCTCAATAAAAAGATAGACATATTTTTCAAATCTATTTGTGCGTTCCAAATGACTCTACAAGAAGTAACAGATTTTCGACCCAGTGATTCGAAGATAACTAACGCATCATCAGAATCTTATATTCTCACTCAGTGCAGTGTAAGATGTCGTCTGTGTGCATCTAATGATCTAAAACCAAGCAGTTATTCAGAGACTTTTGGTTTTAGCAATTCTATGAATGCTCTTGCTAATAATTTTGAACTCTTAAAATATCATACAAAAAGAGTTTGTTCAATCAATTTGTATTTGAGCAAGTTTATCCATCAAATGTATCATTCTAATTTGTTCAGATATTTTGTAGGTTTTCATGTGTATCCATCTTATCTAAGACCTTTGTAAATTATAATAATATACTGAGATTTAGATGGTAGTTGGAGGTAGTCAACAGGAAACCCTGGACCCGGGTTTCGTGCTACTTGGCACTCGTCACCTAGACTGGTGGCCACATTGCAACATGATCGATAGCATTCGATCTGCATTAATAAGGACTAGACAAGCATGACACTGATCACCACCCAGTGATCAATCAATTGTATAATAATATACATTTTGTTGTGTTCTTGGCTAGTGAATGTTTATTATCTACACTCTAGTTTTTCTATCTGTAGTTTATACATGATTTGCTTAAAGTAAAGATTGAGTCTTCGTGTATTCACTAGTTTCAGCTGTAGTACCAATATCCGTATCTACTTTTTTTTTCTACCTGGCGGCAGTGTATTCACAAGTATGAAATGTATGTTTGTATAGCTTCGATTAGGAAAGCACGAGGAAACTTATTTATGCGTCAGTATTGTCGAATTTTTTTTTGTCTCCGCATTGTCATTTTCACAATAACCATCTTAATACGTTGAAAACAATGAAAGTTAGATTTACATTCATCAAATTATGTCAACTATTTCTTTTATTTTAATTGAGATTATCAGTGGTTTAATATATATACATTCCACTCAGTTGATGTTCGTTCCGGAAATACCATACCATAAATTGACATCAGAATATTACTTTAAGTAGAAGGAATCATTTTATAGTTTCTTAATATATTGAAATAGAATGATATTTGATGAGGATTTGCTCTTAAAATAGCTTTAGAAGAATGAAGTTTGGTATAAGTGAATTGAAAAGTCTTACAAGCATTAGTGTTATGATTTAAAGTTACAAGTCAGAATTAAGATTTAGGACTAAGAGTCAGGGTTAATATTAAGAGTAGTGATTCGGAATTAAGTAAAAGAATGTTTCGTATTCATATGGATGAATATTTGCTCATTGATCTTTAATAGTAAGAACGTTGAAGGTATCTATAAAATTCTCAAATCAGTATCCTTATTCTTTAATGTTCTCATGTTTGCCAATTTTAAAAGTTAGTTTTGATGACTGTTCATGCAAAAAATTGGTTTGCTGGTTAACCGATTTCATTCATACTGGTGGTTGCTTCTCACTGTTCTTAAGGGCCATTGTTATTGGAACATTATAATGCTAACACTAACGAGTTTGACTGTCGTGTAAGCGGAATAGGTCAACTCTGGCCTGTTCGTGCTGTGCATAATTGATTCACGCGATCATTGATCAGAATAACTATACATATGACGTGAATGTGTATATGAATGGTCCATCAGGGTGCTTGGTATCTGTGTGGTTGCGTCACAGGATTGACCTGTACTATTCAGATTGTAACGTTAAAGCCTATACAGTGTCTGGTTCTCCTGTTAAATGGGATTGAGCTGTCCTGTTTAGGTTGTCACGTGAAAGTCTGGATGGTGTCTGGTTCTCTTGAAAACCAATATAAAATTACCCTGGCCCACAAGGGTACATTATATATATATATGAGTATTGGTGGGTTTAATTTAACTTTTTAATAAGATACAAACTATCTGCCAACGCACTTTTAATTCTGAGCTAAAATTCACTAGTCTCTTACTTGAAACCGATTGGCTCTTCAGTAAGATATACATTTCTATCTATCTTTTGAGGTTGTAGTTTATCATCGTTGTTAAATTATATTATTATTATAAGCATTCGTATTTTTTTTAATTTCCTAGGTAAACCATTACATTGTTGGGTACCACAAGAATTCACAAGTTCATGGGAAGATTATGCTGAAAATATTTGTTGGGTACAAAATACTTATTTTCTTTTACCAAATGAAGCTATACCAGAAGATGATTTTGAAATGTTAAGAGTACGACATATATCATATTATCAATGGGTAGCAATTATATTAGCTGGACAAGCTATGATGGCATGGGTACCGCATGTATTATGGCGAGTTTGGTCAAAACGTGTACCTGTTCTATTAAAAAATGCACGTGAAGCTGCTGTACCTGATAAAGAAGTACGACATAAAGCTATTAGTTGTCTTGTAGCTGCATTAGAAGAAATTTCTGAAGCATCAAAACGTTATCGACGTACTCGGGGAATATTTCAACGTTGTTTAGGTGGTCCACCACCGACTACACGTATTACATTATTATTTCTAATTGTACGTATATTTTTTATTGCAAATAATATTGGACAAATTTATGTTATGAAACATTTTATTGGAACAAATGATACATTATTTGGTTTACATGTATTTCAAGAATTATTAATCGGTAGTGAATGGGAAGTTAGCGGTTTATTTCCACGTGTAACATATTGTGATGTGAAAGTTAGAAAATTGGGACAATTAAAACCTGCATCGTAAGTTCTATTAAATTACATTTTATTTGATTTCATTTATGGTTTTTGTGTTATTTCTAATTTAGGTTGTTAAAGTTCAAATGAGACTTGAAGTGGAATTTATGAAATACATATTGTCCTCTTTTATCATTTTGATGTACTTACATCTCAGTGTAGATATTCTCAATCTCATTTAAACCCAGAATATTTCCAATACCAGGAATAATCCAGCCATACTTGAATTTGTGGTTTAATGATAATATCAAAGATATCCTTTCAGAAAGTACGTATCCTGATAGAGACCAATCAAATACATTCCCTGATATTATTAATGTGGGAATACAAACCCGTACAAATCAAATTGTTGTAGGTAATATGTTATGTCTTTAGCTTATATGATTATTGTGAAATACGATTACGCTGACTTATACGAATTAACTAATGACACATTTACCAGTACAGGCAGCCTAGAGTTCCGATTGGTCCTCTTTCCGCCTTGCCCTGCCTGTTAAGTCCAGAAAACTAATCTCAACCTCCGCGATACTAGTAATATATTACAAACATACTGGGTTTATATACAACCAATATCAGACCACATCACACCATAAAACAGAAAGTAACATTTGTACAAGTTCAAGCTAAGTGTCTGTTATTGTGAGGGACTGTTACTGATAAACTGGGAATATCTGAAGAATAGTAAATAGTATGATAATAGTCAATAGGTCAAATAAAAGCTTATAATAAGAGGAATATCAGTATGAATAGTTTATTATCTTAATAGTTATACAATAATATTAGTTCATAAATAACTCTTAACAGTTATCATTCATTTATTCTCGTCCGGATATGACATATTACTTAGGATTTTTTAAAGTTTAACATGATTTTATGACAGTGGATAGAATTAATTTACACTATGGTACGATTTTAGGTGTATAAATATTAAAAACAAAGAAGAATTAGAAAGCGTATGAGTGTAACAAGACTTTGATAATTCCTACAAACAGTAAACGGAAATCCGGAAAATGTTAAAAATACTCCGGCTAATCAACATTTTTCAGAGAGTTTCATTAGATTTGTCTCATGCCAATTCGGTAGCTAACAGTTTGTTATACTTTCCAAAAGCTTCTACAGTAAATAGATTACATAGAGTCCTAAACTTAATCACAATTCTTTTTACATAAGCTTGCTTCCGAAACGCGTTTCCACCAAGATCTCACGATTTCAGTTTACTATTTAAAGCCATATATGAGGTTGGGAATTCAATACATAAGCGTTCAAATACAAAGTATATCACCTAGTTTCATAAATCGAATCTGATGTGACATTTATTCATAATATATATTCACTTAAATACCTCAGGTTAACTATCGTTTACTTTCGGTCTAATATCTAATAATCTGTACAAAACTACACATTAAGTCATATTTGAATATTTCACATTGGAAATACAATAACAAGTTTCAAAGTGTAAATACATAACGGGTTCTAGATATAACGACCAAATATCTTTCTTCTCAACAATCCTGTGTTTTTTTTTAATCGAGAAATATTTATTACTGATAGGTTATATTGTTCATGATGAAATAACAAATTCCATTCACCTATCATTTACATTGTGGGTTGAAATGTATTGAAATATTGTAATGTTACTTGATGATGAGATGGATTTTTGTGTGTTTTGTTAATCAGAGTATGTTTATAATGTACAAAAATCTACTTTTACAAGTGTTTCTTTAGGTAGTTTCTACAGTAATAATGTTTGCAAACATTATAAGCGATGAATAATTATCATTATTATTCACTGGTGAATTGGATTGTCATTTTCATAGGAACCATAATCATAAGAAGAACATTTATGAACTTTTCACTTTTAAAAAATACATAGGTCTATTCATGGACAATGTTTGAGCTTACAAAATGAAACATATATTTAATTTATACTTGTACAATACGGATAGAAATTGTGATTTATAGTGAAATATGGGATGCGCGGGTTTATTCTTGTTAGTTTTATGTGTCTGGATACCAATGTTCACATTGGAAATCGAATCCAACACGAACGAGTTGTTTATTTTACGGGCATTTAATCCAAATAAATTATTCAAACTCTATAAATATGTTTATGTAACGATTTTAGGCACTGGCTGTACAGACAGTATTTTAACGCTTGATGCAATTGATATCAGATTCGGGTACCCGTTGCTAGTTACCATCACAATGTTACAAGTTTAAAATGTTTACTGAATTGTGCTTCTTTCCATTCACTTCGACTAGAGACTGGCTTTGGATTATTCTTGAATATCTTGTTCTTTGCGGCTAATTTATAAATGTATAACTATAATAGTTCCTTCTTCATAAGGAATACACTTTTTGCCTGCCATAGTCTTTATTCCTATTTTACTTATGAATAGATACAAATACTAGACCTGGTTTCTTTATGATTTCCACTGACTATTACATAACATGTAATTAATCTCTCTTCACTTATCATACCTGTACTATCGCATTAGTCAAATCAAAGGTTTGCTTTATTCTTCTACTCAAATATAACACTGATTACTAATTACTATAAAAAACATAATCATACAGATGATCACTCACATTCGGTGTGGCTAAAGGGTCATGTCCGTGAATGTTGACCAAATGGCATGAAGTTGGTGTCTAACAAGGAACATTCATGTTCGCCCTCAGACAAATATGCCTTCAAGAGTTCATTTGATATTAATAACTGACTACAATAATAGATACTACTTAACTTACTAGCCAAATTAGACATTAACACCTTTGAGCAACCGTTTAGTAGTCTAGACGTCAAGCGTTAGCGCATGAGACTGGATTCAATTCTTGCACAAGGAATCATGAATGTTTACTGTTGAACCATTCCATACTAGCACGGAATGACTATTCCAAGCTTCCAGGTTTTTAATGGTGGTCTAAATTTGATCAGTTCATGATTTCGATGAAAGTTAATTTGTAGTTGATTAATCCATGAGTAGTGATCTATGTAATACTTGTCTAAACTTCTGGCGTTCCAATTCTATCCACCCAATATATTTCAACGTTAAGCGTTTCGTTAAGGTTAGAGATAAGTCATATTAACAAACTTTAACTACTATGAAAACTAGATCCTTTATTTCTGTTTTACTATTTCAAACCATGTAACATGTCAACACACGTTAATCTATAAGTAAATCAGTCAATACATCATTAATAAAAGATGGTGATATTGTCGTATTGTGCAATAATGCCCAAGGCATGCAATCCGCACTTAATCAGTTGGCAATCAGTGTCCGTAGGTATGGTATGTACTTTGCACCTTCGAAGTGCAAAGTACTTCTACAAGACTGGCAGGATTCTAATCCTGTACTCACCCTGGATGGTGAGCAGATAGAAGTAGTCGAGAAGTTCGTGTATCTAGGTAGCTGCATAAGTACTGGTGGTGGCGTGAGTGATGAGATCAATACACGTATAGCGAAAGCCAGAGCGGCTCATGCCAATCTGGGCCATCTTCGGCGCCTTCGTGATGTCAGTCTGGATGTAAAAGATCGGATCCACAACGCGTCGGTGGGAGCAGTTCTGCTCTATGTTTGTGAAACCTGGCCTCTCCAGGTTGAAGATGTTAGACGACTCTCTGTGTTTGATCACCGTTGTCTCCGAAGGATTGCTGACATCCAGTGGCAACACCATGTTAGTAATGCAGAGGTTCGGCATCGTGTGTTCGGGCACAGAGACGATAATCCAATTGGTGTCACCATCTTGAAACACTGACTTCGGTGGCTTCGACATGTTCTACGAATGTCGTCCCAGAGAATTCCACGTCATGCATTATTTGCCGACGATGGGACTGGTTGGAAAAAACGCAGAGGTGGTCAGTGCATGACATGGTGTCGTGGTATGAAAGAAAGCTGCAAAGGACTGGCTTGTGTTGGTCCTTCACGACTACCTGTCTAGGGTTCGAGAGATGGTGCTTCATAGTGGCTAGAGATGTTATCAGATATGCCGTTCCGTCCCCCCATTATTAATATTATTATTATTGCACTACCTTACACCAATCTGTTCGTTATTGTTCTTTTTTTCTTTCACACTCGTTACTTTTTTTCCTTCTCTTTAAATTCTCATTGTTTTGTGTGGTGCATATATATTTGGTTCCCTATTGTACCAATATTTATGTGTTCAAATAGATAAATAAATAAAATAAAAGATGAGCATTCAAGACTTTATTACTGTCATTTTAAGTTAGTTCAGTACTCATTTCATTAATCTTCAATGGTAAGAAATTATGGTAACAATAATAATAGTAATAACATTTTATCTTACAATCAAAAGTGATAGCAACAAAAAAGACGCAGCAAATGTTTAGGTCATACTGATTTGTATTTATTAAAAGGAAATGATAACTACACCAAAGAAATAATTTGTCTTTCTGTCTCCCATCTCTTACTTATATCTAAAATGTACCAAAATAAATTTTAAAAAAAAATTACTTTCATCTTTTCTGATGTTCTACTAACCTTGAATTTTTATGTCATATATGTATATTACAATATGTTTACACCACCTTTCTCTTTTTCTTCCCCCCCCCTCCTCTTTCTTTTTTCATTTACTCTATAATTTAATCTATATGATATTCATCTATTCAGTTAACTTTTGGCCTAGTTACTATTCCATCTTCGGTTGTATCTTACCACACACACAAAATAATAATAATAATTGGTCCATTGTATAATGCTGAAAAGGATTTATTCAAATAGGAAAAAGTTTTTTTTTCTTTTTCGATTGAAATAAGAATAATGTCAACGGACAAATAGTAGGAAAATAAATTACTTTTCAAGGTCAATGATAATAATAATAATAATAATAAGTGGTGAAATTTGTTAGAACTTTGTGAAATGGTATAAAACAAATTTCGTTGTTGTTGTTGTTGTTGTTTTGTTTTCATTTTTCTCATGAGTTTTACGTTTCAAAAGTGATTTTATGAAAGTTTATGCCTGATAAAATATGTTTATACTGGGATTTAT